TCCGAACCACATGTTGGGGTAAGGTGAGCTTTCCACGAGTAGAAGTAGAATACATGGGCAGTTTCTGTGTTGAAACCAAAGCCATTAATTTGTTCTAGTAAGCTCAGGAAAAAAATAAAAATAAAAATAAAAAAGGAACCTTGCTAAGCTACGAAGTTTTGGAGAAGGAGAAGTAGGCTACTCTGAACTCTGAGCAATAAGGCAACATGAGAAATTGTACACGAGCAATAAGGGCAACATCCACGAAAAATTTATAAGAGTTGAAAGAAAAATTGTACATGTGGGCTCCCCTTACCACCACCTAACTCGTATCAACTGTGAATAACCCAGCATTAAATGGAGAAAAATTGTACATGAGCAATAAGGCAACATCCACAAAAAATTTGTAAGAGTTGAAAGAAAAATTGTACATGTGGGCTCCGCTTACCACCACCTACCCGTATTAACTGTGAATAACCCAGCATTACATGGGCTAACATGCGAAATAGTTTTTTCTATATTTAACTCAGAAGTTTTTTTTGTTATGAGGTTTTTTTACTCAACATTTAGTACTTATTTTTATATAAACAAATGGTGAAGAATTTTTGAACAAGTTGTCAAGGTCAGGCTTGAAGCTCACTTATGAAAGAGGAGAAATGCACCTCAAACTGACAGGCTGTCAGTTGGCCCGAAGGACCAAGTGCAAATGGTGAAAAATTAACGAAAAATTTAACAATTTTTTTTCAGAAATTTTTAATTTGTCATTAAAATACATATTAAATTTTATTAATTATAATATTTATAATTAATTGGGCCTAGGAATCCATTTTTTTTACTAGTAAATGTGAGTTATGGAAAGAATGAAATATGACTCCTTCGGAAAAAAAAATTCTTTTGCACGTAAAAAGTGACAGTGTGATCGAGCAGATTAATTTCGAAGTTTTTTTGTATCCTTTTATAGTGATTTATGATAATTTAAAAGATTATATATAGATAGAAAATCTTTGCTTAAATTAATTAAGTAGTGTTTTT